TTAAATATTCAACTTATAATTTAAACCAGACTTATTATGTTTTATTAACGATAGTTTTAAATATTTAACGCAATTTTTGCACCAAACTCATAAAATTATAGATGTTAAAAAGATTTTTCAAATAATCATTTTTCAGCAAATTTGGTTTAAGGTTTCATCAAAGGTCAACATGTCCAAAAATTATTTTTACAATAGCCCCAAAACTATGTAAGATATAAAGTTAAAACTTTTACAGTTTAGAATTTTTTTTATTTGTTAACAGATAGAAAGTATCAGTTGATTAAAAAATACTTGGAATAATATTAATGGAGAAAAATTCTTCTTAAAAATGCATATATTTTCAAAAAAAATACACCTAATTAATTCCGTGCTGTTAGTGAAAATCATCATTGCAGAAACAAAAGATGTTTATCAATGAAGGGCAAGTTGGACTTGGATAGCCTCTGGAAAGTTGTTTTCCCTGTTTATTTTGTCCAAATGTTAAGACTTGAAAGTGAAAGTACACTGCCAATGGCGGATTCTATAGGGGTCTTGTCTTTATACATGTCATGCTTTCAATAACAGCCTTTCAAAGACCATTCATGTCCAACTTGTCCTTTAATGATAAACATATATTATTTCTACAATGTTAGTTTACACAAAAAGGACAGAATTAAGCAGGTGCATTTTTTTTAAATATGCACATTTTCTGATACAATTTTTCTAAAAAAAATATCTTTTTAAAAATATTTGTTATCAAGTAAAACTTTCTTTCTATTAATCAGTGATATATTTAAAAACTGTAAACATTTTGACTTTATACCACACATAGTTTTGGAGCAATTGTAAAAATAATTTTTTAGACATGTTGACCTTTGACGAAACCTTAAAAATGTGAAAATTTCTTGTATGATGCCCGCTGCCCCACTTAATTTTAATGCCATAAAAGGGAGAGACTGTTGGAAAATAACGTGTTAATTTTAAAAAGAAATCTGTAGTTAGAATATCAAGCAGCAATTTATTTTTAATAGAAATTAGTTTTATAATTTTGAGCTAAATATGTTTAATTCGCCCTAGAAAGTAATATTAAGTGGATCAACGGATTAAAAAAAATAATTTAACCGTTAAACAAGAATATTTTCTCTATAATTCATTTGTTAAAATTTTTCTTTTAATTTTAGAAAGCTAGCATAAATATCTTAATTACTGTATTTCCGCAATTGCATGAGTCTATTTTTAGTAACAATCATTTCAAAAGGAGGCCCGGTTGACCCCAAAATTTACACAGATCTGGAAAGGACAAATACTTAGTTAAGATTCTGAGAAGTTTCAAAAAAAATATATAGTTCCGTTATTTTTATAGTTTGGTATGGATCTTTACCTTTACATGATAGTGCTTATTTACATCATAGTGGGGGTATTACTAGTGAGCATTGGCTCACAGATTTCTTGTTTCTCATTTTATATTGAACGCACTGTTTTGGCGCGATATTATGACGTCATAGTAAGTAACACGTCATTTTTTTAACAGATGTGAATAAAGTACACATCCTTCCCAGTTTCTGAAACAACAATGATGCATAAAATATTGGAGATAAAAATATGCAAAAATCTGCGGCCATAATAAGTAAATACCGCTCCTAGTTCTTTTGCTTGAGGCTTCGGCTCAGGCGAGCTAAAAAACATTTAAAATAATTGCTAATAAAGACTTAAACGAGTCATTTTAATGTGTTTGTAATGTCGAAGGACCTAGTTAAGTTTTATATTAAATGTTGTACTTTATATTAAAGGTACTCAACACTCAATTAAAAAAACTATATCTTTACATCTGCTTATAATTTCTCTGTATATATAAGTATGACGTGAATGTTCATTTTGTCAATTTTATCTTATTTACATGTGTAACAGAGAGGTACTTTTGTATTTTTCACATGTTCATATATGTAGCACAATTTTAGTTGAACGACTCTCTATACATCGATGATTTTTTCTTTTTTTGGTCTCGAAAATTAATTAACAATATAACAATAATGAGATTGAGCAGTAAGGGATCTTTTTGTGCCAAACATTTACTGTGATACGGAACCTCGGTTTCTACGGTCTAATCCGAAGGACCGATTTCCATGTCCCATTGTGGTTTTGGAACCCGCGCCTTATTGTCATGACTTATCCCCTTACACCGCGACCCAAGAAAAAAAAACACAGCACCTGACGGGAGACATATTTATTTTTATAATTAAATAATAATAATCAGTTCTAAAGTAACACACCGGAAGTGGTGCCGCGTTATACTTAAGAAGTAAACATTGGAAGTGGATGTTTCTTCGCCAAGTGCTCGGCACTACAAGTGAAAGTCACGGACTTTCGGATATGACTCTGAGTGTAGAGTATACATGTACATGTAGGTCTAAAGAACTTTATTCGGTAATAACATGTAACCAATATTTGCCCCCCAAGTCAAACTTTGATGGAGATATATTTAATTAAGTTCTTAAACAGGGGAGTATATGCTGACTTCGAAGCACTGAATATTTTCATAAGTAATGACGCCATATGTACGTAATGACGTCACAAACATGACGTAAATTTCCGTTTTTATGAATTTTACAGAAAAATGTACATATTTGGTCGATATTTTGAGTAAAAGTCACCGAGCACATGTGTGTTCAGGATCAATATTTTGATCTAATGTGTAGAATGATAATATCAATGAAATATGTCAAAATTGTTCCTGAACAAACTTGCGCTCTATAAATTTTAAAGCTAAAATTTTTGAAATTTTGTCCTCTTTCTGAAAACAAGAGGCCCATGGGCCTTATAGGTCACCTGAGCATTATGCAACAACTTTTCAGTGATTGAATTTGATTCATATTTTACGCCAGATGCTATGGCATTCACAATTTTGAAAGAGCTGGCGGTCCATTGGTCATCATAACTATACACTTAGCAGTTGCTTAGTTTGGTTACTTGATACCCATAGGCAGGGTAGGGGAACAAAAATGCATTTCAACTAATCAGTAATATTCAGCAATAATCAGTAGTGTCCCTACCACACATGAATTCCTGACCCTTAGGCCTAGATCTACATATTGCACAATTTTTGTACAGGCATTCTTGCTTTTCAAAAATATTTGATTAATACCAAGGAGCAGGTTTCAAACAATTCATTATATATTATATTTTCAGTATATACATACAGCTCCGCCCCCCCCCCCCCCCCCCCAACGAAACCCCTGACCCTGGGGCCTTGAAATTCACAATTCTGGAATATTATCATAACTATATAGGTAATTCATCTGCTTCATACCCCGAGACAGAGAAGAAAATTTTCAAAGATTTAATGTATTTGCACTATATATGTATAATCAATAGAGCCCCGCCCTAACACCGGAATCCCTGACCCTGGGGCCATAAAATTTATAATTTTTAAAGAGGCATCCTTGCTCATCATAACTTAACACTTAACAAAAATTCTAAGTGTTCACTTTAATAAATGTATTTATTCAAACACTACTTTATAGAATGGTATGATATTTTCAAATTATTACAAAAAATGAGTCTTCTCAACAATTTTAGAAAGGAAATTTAATATCACCGATGAAAACCAATGTTCCGTGACGAAGATTAAAAACAATTAATCTGTACTTTGCTTCACGTATTTTGTGTAATTAGCAATTTTTTGTGATCATTATCAAATTTTTAAAACTGCTTTCACTAAAAAACACAGAACATTGGCAAAATGACCTTTGCGATAGAAGGGAGAGACGTTGGAATGTTGATATCTGGACCATATTTGCACCACGTTTTACTCACTTTTAATTTAGTGCTTAATTATACTTGATTTAACTTTTAAAAATTTTCAAACAGTATCAAAACCCATTTAAACACAGTTTTCTATAGGCTGTGCTCATTTTTCATCACCAATCTATCACAATCTGAAAGTTTTTGACAACATTTAACCACACCGGAAGTGACCTTGATCCTCTTCTGAGGAGAAAATTTCGCGTCACAACAGGTTAAAAGAGTATTAAAGTGTCCTGAAAAAATCTTACAAACATGGAAACAAACCATTTCAATCGTACGAAAATGAAAAGAAATCGGTGCTTGTAGTAGTCTTATATCAGCTCAAGCAGTCTTAATTATCCTAAAAGTGGCGCACTTACGTGCTAAACAACCAAGGATATTGACCAAGAGGCATTTGTGTGACGATACAGTGTCAAATTTCCGGATCTGAATCCCACTAAACATATTTCGGATTTTAAAAGAAATGTGAAACCCCCCTTTCCTCACAATTCCAATGGTTTGGAAAGATTTATGCAGTACATGTAGGTATGACAGCAGATGGGTCAATCTCCTATTTAGGGGTACATGGTATCCAAAAATAAAGATTGGTTTGTAATAATTAGAGCGAGTAGCGGGTCTTACTCCATCGAGATTTTATTGTGTGAATTTTCATTTTGAGGGTACATCATTTCCTTGACACTTTCCTTAAAATTCTGACGAGATACTTACATGAAATTTAAGCAACATCGAACTTAAATATGCATCATTGAAATTATTTATCGTTTGTATTTGTTCTTTAAAACTTCAAAAATGTTAGGTCAACACTTAAAAGTTTGGTTCAGTGTATATAGGTAGTTCATTTTCTTAATACCTAGGAGCAAAGAAGAAATTTTTCAAAGGTTTCATTTATTTTCACTATATAATCAAAAGAGCCCGCCCTCACACCACAACCCTTGACCCTGGGGCCATAAAATTCATAATTTGGTAGAGGCGCTCTTGCTCATCATAATTATGCACTATGAATTAGACACGTGACTTATGGCCGGGTAGTCATGAATTTCTGAGCTCCGACGTTTTTGACCTTAAGTGTGTTCTTCTGGATCGGGGATTAAAGATATGTGTAGCCAGACCTAAAGAGTAATGATTACCATTTCTTAAAGGAAAAAACTGGAGTTTTTGGCAAGTTTTTTAGTGATTTATTTGTGTTTTCTTTTTGCCCCTTTTTGAACAATAGAATTATGAGTTCCAGTCGTGAGCAGATGTCAGTACAAAAAAGGAACAGTGGACACGGTCAGCCTACTCCGGACTCCAGCACTAGCGGTATATCTTTTGTTCCTCAATTCATGCCGCCGTTCACGCCTGAGTTACTCGGTGCAATGCAGACCCTACCGAACTTGCAGATAAGCCTGGGGGAAATAACGGAATCTTTAAAGGCAATTAAAGGCTTAACACAAGATATAAGTAATATAAGGAAAGATCTATGGGAGGAAGATGGATTTGATTTTCGTATATGTCATGTTGCTCAACAACAGGAGGAGAACATCGACAATATTCAGATGCTTCAGCAGGAAAACAAAATGTTAAGAGAAGATGTCAACATGTTAAAATCAGTTGTCATTAATTTAGACAGAACAGTCAGAAAACAGCGATCTGAAATTACAGATTTAAAGTCAAGGTCAATGAATCAGAATATTCTTATTCACAATCTACCAGAAGAGGAAGATGAGGAAAATTTATTTGAGAAAATCCCCCGTCTCATAAAGGAGCATTTTGGAGTGGACACTTCCTTCGCAAACATTCATAGAAATGGGCCAAAAACTTCAGGTAAACCACGAATTATTACTGGCAGACTTTCAAAATTCAGTGATAAAGAAAAAATTCTCCAAGCGCAAAGAGAACTAAACAAAAGAGAGCGGGAAGCCTCTGACCAGACGGATCAGACTGCAGAACCAAAGTCACCCGAAAGAACCTTTTACGTCACGCCACAGAGACCAATAGAAGTCGCGGAAAACCGAAAGAAACTTCAGGAAATAAATGATCAGTACTGGAAAGAGAAAGTGAAGACACGATTCGTAGGAGACAAGCTAGTATTTCCTAATGGAAATGTGTACAGAGACAAAGTATTGAAACCAAAGCCAGAAAATATACTAGATATTACCAAAGCAGATAAGGAAAAGCTTCAGCAGATTCCTATGTCTACCATTGATTGCTCAGACGAAGGAAATACTTTCAAAGCAGCCGCAGCAACAACAGATACATACAACCAGGTTAGAAACTTTTACAAAAAAATTGTTATAGACCCATCATACGCAACGGCAGAACACAATATTTTAGTGTATCGTTTCAAAGATGGTAATGGCGCAATCCACGAGGGTCACAACGATGACGGTGAGTACGGTGCAGGAAGGCGGCTTATTCAAATTCTACGATCGATGAATGTTACAAACATGACATGCGTGATTTCCAGATTCTATGGGAAACATTTGGGCTTTCGCAGGTTTCAAATCATGGAAAACTTGATGGCAGACATTGTTCTTGAACATAGTGGCTAATTATGTACTCAGGTCAGGTAATCAGTATATTGGAACTTTCGTGCTCAATGTAATGAGGTGTATTAATAGTTAACCATCGTTAACATGGTCAGCAAATTATATGTAATATATGTAATGTATTTATTTCCTTCTTATCAAAAGAACTGGTTGCATAGTAAAATGTGTAGCGGTTGTTTTTTTCATCAATGATTATTATTATATATACTTACGTATTTAAAATTAATGTCTAAATTGAAAATTGAGTAAATTTTCACTCCCATTTCTAATATTTAACAATACGGAATTTTCAGATCCGTTGTGTTTTGATTCTAAAATTTGTCACCGCTTTTCCTTTCCGGTATCGAACCCGATTCAAGATGATAATCACATTTTGGGTTAAAACTTAAGGTACTCTGAATAAAAATGAACTATCCATTTTTGTACATAAGCTGTATGTTTTTTTGTTTGTGTTTTTGTTATAAACCTGGCTCTTGTTAAAAAGGATTTTTTTGTTTACTTGCAACTGCATTGGTATAGACAATGTTTATTGCATTCCTTTTTTTTTATGGTGAGCTTGTGTTGATGTACTATAACGAAATGGAATTAGATTATGTCTTTTAATATATCTATTATATCTCTGAATGTAAGGGGATTGCGTTTACTTAGTAAAAGAAGATGCTTGTTTACATGGTTTAAAGAAAAATTTCCTGATCATTTTATTTATTTACAAGAAACACATTCTACTGAGCTAGATCAACAAATATTGAAAACTGATTGGGAATCTGATATAATTTTTTGCCATGGAGAATCAAATAACAAAGGAGTAGCAATTTTATGTCCACATAATATAGATTATAAAATAATTGAAAAAACAAGTGACAAAATTGGCAGATTTTTAAAAGTATCCATTTTAATAGATGATTCAAAATTTACATTGATAAATGTGTATGCTCCAACAAAAGATAACTCAGCTGAACAAGTTGAATTTTTAGAATTTTTGTTGACTCATTTAGATGAAGAGAGTGAGAAGAATTTGATATTAGGTGGTGACTTCAATATTACCTTAAATCCTTCCATAGACAAACAGGGTGGAAGCATTGAAGGAAAATCAAGATATAGGGATAATCTAATTGCTGCAATGGAAGACCTAAATTTAATTGATATTTGGAGAGAAAAAAATCCTGAAAGAAAACTGTTTACATTTTTGCGAAAAAACCCAATTATTTTGTCAAGATTAGATTTTTTCTTGATTCCATCTTTTTTGGTACCTTTTGGAACTGCAAGTATTAAACCATCGATAAAAATAGATCATAGTGTTATAATCATAACTTTGAAAGGGAAAATATTTGTGGATAGAGGCCCTGGTTTTTGGAAATTCAATGTATCCTTACTACAAGATGAGATATTTTTAGAGAAAATAAAAGAAATAATTGTACAGTTAAAAGAAAAATACACTAGATTAGAAAATAAACAGTTAAAATGGGACACAATTAAATGTGAACTAAGGGGTTTTATTGTAAAGTATTCAAATCTTAAAGCACGTAGAAATCGAGAGAATGAAGAATGTCTAACTAAGAAATTAGAGGAACAAAATGTAAAAATAGCAACAGACCCAACTGAAGAAAATGTAAACATATATGATAAAATAAAAGAAGAGTTGGAAATAATAAATGATAACAAAACCAAAGGAACTATATTAAGATCTCAGGCCAAATGGCATGAAGAAGGGGAAAAATGCACAAATTTTTTCTTATCTCTGGAAAAAAGAAATTATAGAAATAAATGTATTTCAACATTAAATATAAATGACAATATGGTACAATGTAAAAATGAAATATTAGAAGAGGAGATGAAATTTTACAAGAAATTATATACATCTGACTTGGATTTTAATGAATATAAAGAAAATCTTGGTTATTTTTTGAATAATTCTAACATTCCAAAACTTAAAGCTGAGGAATCCCTTTCATGTGAAGGCCCAATTACATATAAAGAATGTGAAAATATTTTGAAAACATTCAAACATAATAAAACACCTGGGGCAGATGGGTTTCAAATGGAATTTTATGAGTATTTTTGGAAAGAGATATCAGAACTAGTTATAGATAGCATAAATGAAAGCACTAAAAAACAGGCCCTCTCTGTTGACCAAAGAAAGGGAATAATAACTTTAGTTCCAAAGAAAGATAAGGATAGAACTTTGTTAAAAAATTGGAGACCAATATCTCTTCTAAATTTTGATTATAAAATATTATCAAAGGCATTGGCAAAGAGAATGAAAACTTATTTACCTCATCTAATAGATTCTGACCAAACTGGATATCTAGAAAATAGATTTATAGGAGAAAATATCAGAACAATCTCTTATCTTATAAACTATACTAGTATCAAGAATATCCCTGGATTAATTCTTTTAGTAGATTTTGAAAAGGCATTTGATACAGTAGAATGGTGTTTCATTGATAAAGCTTTAGAAATATTTGGTTTTGGTGAAAGTTTTAGGCATTGGGTTCAAATCCTGTATACAGATATATCTAGTACTGTCATAAACAATGGATATGCAACATCTTTTTTCAAATTAAGTAGAGGGGTAAGACAAGGATGCCCTTTATCACCGTACTTGTTTATTTTATGTGTTGAATTGCTTGCAATAGCTATAAGAGCAAATAAAAATATACGCGGCATAAAAATAGGGGAGACCGAATTTAAGATTAGCCAGTTAGCAGACGACACTACATGTTTTCTAAGTGATGAAAAATCAGGAATTGAAATATTAAATGTTATTCAAAATTTTAAGCATTGTTCTGGATTGAAAATTAATCTGAATAAGACTGAAGCAATTTGGATAGGAAAGAATAAAAACTTCAAACCAGGAATTCTGCCAGTAAAATGGTCAAAAGGTGAATTTTTTACCCTTGGAATTTGGTTTAGTTCAAGTGGGGAACAAAAAGTTCTTTCTAAAAACTTAAATACAAAACTAGATGAACTAAAAGCAACTTTGAATTTATGGAAAATGAGGAACTTAACACTTATTGGCAAAATTCTAATAGTAAAAACTTTAGCAATATCTAAAATAGTATATCAAGCACAAGTACTTCCACTTCCCCCACAAATGATAAAGGAAGTGTCTAAAGAACTGAATAAGTTCATATGGAATAATGAAAAACCAAAGGTTAAAAGTTCAGTATCTTGCCAAAAAATTAATAAGGGTGGATTGAAAGTTCCTAATTTTGAAGCACAAATGAAATCATTAAAACTTGGTTGGGTTAGAAGGATATTTAGTAATACAAACGCAAGATGGAGAAGTACAATTCAATATTATCTGAAGGATATAGTATTAAATGACTTTATAATTAGCAGAGGTTGCTTAAATAGCCTATATACAGACTTATCATTACCACAGTTTTACAGAGAAATTTTTGAAACATGGACACAACTAAGATGTAAGGATATTGATATTGAACCAAAAATTTTTAAAGAAGCTCTTTGGTTCAATGATAACATTAAAATCAATAATGAAACTGTGTTCTGGAAAAAATGGTACACAAAAGGAATCTTATATATTGGAGATATTTTAGGTGATAAATATGATTTTTTAAGTCATGAGGAATTAGGTAAACATTATAACTTAAATGTATCTTTTTTTGATTACTTTTGTTTAAGGAATGCCATTCCATATCACTGGCGAAAATACTTAAGGCAAAACAAAAAAGTTTTAATCAATAGAGATTCTTTGATCTTAAGATTCAATGATAAAATAAGTCCATTGTCAAAATTATCTTGTAAAGACTTTTACTGGATTATAATAGAAAGTCTAAATGAAGTACCAACATGTGTACAAAAATGGGAGAAAATATTTAACACAAACTTTTCACCTGCAGACTTAGAAAAAAATTTTATGCTACCTTTTGTGTGTTCTAATGAAACATCATTACAGTCTTTTCAATATAAGCTAACTCATAGATTTTTATCACATAATAAACTACTTTTTTAAATGAAAATTCAAACTTCAGCACAATGTTTATTTTGTAAAAAAGAAGATACTTTAGAACACAAATTTTATTATTGCACTTTTGTTGCAACTTTTTGGAACCATTAGTAGTATAAGGGGTCTAGATAGGGGAGGATTCTGATTGGCTGAGAGAAATCATGTGATCAGTTCTGAGGTTGAGGGGATAAATGGGTCAACTGAGTGGAGTTCTAACCCTAACCTCTTATCCCCTAACCCTAACCCTAACCCCCTAACCCCTAACTAACCCTAACCCCCTAGCCCTAACCCTAACCCCCTAACCCTAACCTAACCTAACCCTAACCCTAACTAACCCTATCCCCCCTTAGCCCTAACTAACCCTAACCCCCTAACCCCTAACCCTAACTATCCCTATCCCCCTTAGCCCTAACCCCCTAGCCCTAACTAAGCCTAACCCTAACCCTAACCCCCTAACTAACCCTAACCTATTCCCCTTAAATACGGGGTGTGTTTACATTGGTACGTTGGTACTACGTTTTTGTTTTTATGCTGACTGCACAGGTAAAAATGCGCCGTGTGCAAAAAAAAAAAAAATATGCTGACTATACAGGTAAATACTTGGCAGCGAGCCAAGTTTGTTTAGAGCCGTGTGCAAAAAATATGCTGACTACACAGGTAAATACTTGGCACTGAGCCAAGTTTGTTTAGGGCCGTGTGCAAAAATACGTTTTACCTACGTTTTCCTTATATTTACCTGTTTGCATCCTCTATAAAGTGCCGTGTGCAAAAAAAAAAAATATGCTTACCTATGCATTATGACGTCATCCACTGTATATAAATACGGTTTTCTCCGACTTTGGGTTCATTTTACTCTCAGAGCCATCACCTGATAGACATGGATTCTACTAGAGAAAAACAGGTACAGCCTCGACGAACATTGAAACGAAAAAGTACCGAGAGAGAAATAGATTTACCACCTAAACCCATTTCGGAGTATTATCACATGAGACTAGCTGAAAAATGGACCTCTCCAAAATTTAAAGCGCATGAA